ATCTGGCAGACATTACTTATGTATTTAGAAATGAACACACTTTCCTTTGAAATGCAGTGCTGGGATAGTATTTAAGTTTTTAACAGAGCTGTTAAGGGTTTTGATACAAAATAACCAACAGTGCAGTTTCAAACCACAACCCTCCTCCATAGGGGAATTTATTCAGTATATTTTCAATAATTCTATTCACCAATGCCCAAGATTCGCACCTCCCAAAGACCTGAAATGCATATATGGCCATCTGCTATTTCCTCCTATGTAACGATGTGTTTTGTACACATCAGAAGGTAAGTTCTGGAAAAGAAGAAGAAGTGGACTCAGGGACTCAGTTTATACATCTGTGCAGTGAGCTTTGCTGATGGATACACAGCTAGTGAAGTACTTTTGCAGACCCCGAGTAGTCGGTATTTGTGATTGCAGTGTTGAGGGGTTTTTGGGAAGAGGAGAATTGCATCCTGAACACTTTCATTCTTGATATTGCTAATTTTTTTTTTTTTTTTTTTTTTTTTTGTCCACCCTGGTAGACAAGCCTAGGTACAGTGAAGCCATACAACAGTGTACTTCAAGAACTATGAGATTTGCAGACTGTTGTAGTGTGTTAGCCCTTGTGTATGCCATTTGCACTATGCACAAATCTATCCCACAGAGAATGAAATGACCAAACCAGCAAACTAATGATTTGATCTTCCCACTGTAAAGCTAATTTCAGCATTCACTCAAAAGCTAGATCCAAATGCTCAGTGAGGAAGTTTGGTAAATTAATTTGCAGAAGTTCCATCACAAACTTGCACTCATCAAACACACAAATATCAGACTACAGCAAGAATGCAGAGACTGGGCAGATTATTTTGCTTTGAATAATTGCATTTTTTGAGTCTCCTGTCCAAAACTCCTTCTTTGTTTTCTTGGAAGTGGTTTTGATACTTAGTTGCATACCAACCATGTTAGTTCTTGCATACTAATATTGTTAATGTTTTCAAGCTAAACTGAAACAAAAATTATACATTGCTTTCATGGTTATATATGTGTGTCAGTTAAGAGCTTTAACTGTGGTCAAGAAAATGTCAAACTTCTAGAGAACTGACTGAGAAAAATCTTTACAAGTAGGGAATGAGGAACTCTGGCCTGAACTATTCACTAAACAAATGCCGTGTTCCAGGGGGTGATTAATAAAATGTCCCATCTGTTCCATGACAATACTGCTTGCTAATGGACACTCACAATTTTTGAGACGTTTGGAACACTTCCATCTTTACTCCAGATGCCAAAGACTGCCAAAATCTGCCAGCCTTTAGCTGAGAGGATGAGAGTACATTTTCTGTTTGAACTTTTCCCATACAAATCTAGCCTTAGCGAAAAAGAGACTGCCACGTAGTGAGGAGGGATTGCTTATACTCCTGTCAGTTAAAGCTTCTCCCAGAGATACTAATGTCTTTTTTTATTGCGCATACTGTTATGCACATCTGCATATTAGAAGAAGAATGAAATTCCTTCACTGTTTTATCATTCTGACCATTGAACTGGCAGAGGCTCAGTGCTTCTTAACACTGTAGTAAGAATCTCTCATCTGTCCCTAAAATTTCATGTAAGCTGGTATAATACATATTTGAAAGACTATCTTTAATTTATCTTTAATTACAGCTGTGAAAGCACCATTTCAGACACAAATCAGTAGGAAGCATTTGCTTGTCCATAAATGATCACAGGAGTCCTTTGTAGTCCTGAAAGTATGCTGTTATGATTTTTTTGGAGATAGTGCACTATACACTGGAGAGTGGGTTGGTAATGTCCAGAGACAGCACAGGTTTTTTACATAGAGGAGAATATCTGCAGATTGTATGATACGAGTATCAGGTATTAATTTGAGTCTTTTTTTCTAGAGTCCAGATTTGCATTTCTAACAGAATATTAATCTTGCTTGGAAAGTAAACATTACACAGCATTTACCACAAAGTGGTACATATATGGAATAGGAAATAGTTACAAAATCTTTATGTAGCATCTTTTGATAAAAACTGATATTTTGTCACATTGATTATACTAAAAATATGTTAATAATTTCCTGTTTTTTCATTTGTTTTGTATGATATTCATCATAGAGATATTAGTGATCATAAATAGAATAAATTCAATTCAAGTGGGAACATGGGATCAGTGAATATAGCATGGGATGCAAGAGGCATGTATTGTATTTTGCTTTTCATAATTACTCTGTAAATGGACTGGGACAAGTTAACTTCATCTCAGTGCATTTGTTTCCCTTCATATAAAATTGAGAACCCAATACTTCATTTGAAAAATGCATTGAGGTCTACAGAAAGATAAGTTATTTAAGAAGAATGTGAGATTTTATTGCTATTGTGGTGAATGGAAGGAGGTGTTCATGATCGTTCACACCAAACCTTGGTTTATTCCCTGTTTCCATCTTCCTAATGGGATGTTCTGCAAATAAAGATTTCCAGCATGAATTGGATGAAAAAATTGCAATAGAGAGACAGAATTACCTGTGGATCAGTCAGAGATTTGTCAGTGGGATCTTTCAAGGCTGCAGCTCAGATTGTCTCCTGCTTATTCCGCTCTCTAAGCAGTTGCCGTGCATCAGATGTGTTTTTTTGAAATGTTGCTGTTTTGATATAGTGGCATTTCATGTCTGCTTTTTTTCTCTTTTATATCTCCTGTAATTCTTTTTTTATACATTGGAAGACATTGAAGAAGTGGGACCTTTGAAATTCTTTATTACAAAAACTTTAAGATTTATATTCTAATCATTTATGTGTAGGGGATATTTGTCAAAGGAACTGGTAGAACTTATCACTCACTCCTGTTGAATTTCAGTGGGATTTCAAACTCTTACTCCCTCAGGCTCTTCTTTGCACTTCTTTATACCTCAAACATCAATCTTCTCATACATAGCAATGATTTATTGGCAAAGCCGCTCAGACAGAAATGACAAAGAGGCTTTTAGGGCAATTGTTTTCCTTGAATTACCCAGTATTTCTAGCCAGATTTCATATATTCCCCCCTGCTTCAAGCACACTCTTCCTGCTGCTCCTGATCCTCCATGATTTTATGCATTTTCTGACTTTCCCTGGTCTACAACTGAACTGAGAGGTAACTTGGAACTTGTAAATGGGATTTTAAGTCACAATATTTAGCAAATAAAACATATAAATCAGCAAATGAACTAGGACAATTGTATGTGATCTTTCATAGAGAAATGGGCAAATTACTCGTCATGAGGCAGTGTCATCTGGCAGTGATGAGAGGCAGTAAGAGATCAGGTATAATGTCAAAGAAATACATGTTTTAGAAGTGCATAATTGTGTATTTCACAGATATGTTTACTAAAGTATTACTAGAGATAATAGCAACTGGCATTAAAGAAACCCAAGCAAATTAATTTTCAGTGTACTGTAGTTTTATTTAGTATTTGAGTAACTAGAATTTTAATTAGAAAAATGACAAAATGGTTTTGTACTAATGTAAGACCTCTTGATATAGCTAAAAAATTGGGCTTGTGGTTTTGGTCAGGTCAGTTTATCAGAGTCCAAAAAGATCTCCCCAAGCACCTGTCACAGTTCCCAATGACATCTGCTTTCTCTCCTGCCCTGCCATGCTCCTTCAGGTAACAGAATTCTCTTTCCTTTTTTCCACATGCTCGTCTTAGCCTCTGGCCCTGACCTGGAAAATGGTCCTCGCAGCTCCTTCGCTCACAGACCAAAGGAGCTGAGAAGGGCTGCTGCTTCTCCCTGTCTACTCAGCATTCCTTTTGTACCATCGAATGATTGACTGAGAAAAAACTTAAGCCTGGTTAATCAGCACACAGGGGAGCCAGCAGAAAGTGATGGGGGCTGATAAGTTCCTGGAAATCACTTTCATATTGAAATCATTTGAATATTTTATATTGGTTGAATTTTATCAGGACTTGTCCATTCAAAGATAATTTACTCAAAAATGGTTTTCGAAAACTGTGACATTTGCAGAGCAATTGCAGTAGTACAGACTGTGTTGCACACTAATATTTTGAAATCATGGGTCCATTTTGCACCTGTCCAACAAAACTGAAATTGCACCAAGATAGCATTTGCCAATACACAGAATACAATTTGCTTCCACCAAAGATTTTAACCTTTTCCATTTCTAACTTACACGCTGTGCGGACAGTAGCAAACCGCTAAATCCATTTACAGATCCAATTTGATGTTAGTTGATGAATTGACATTATCAACGTTTAATCAGTATCTTGTTTGTTTGTTTGTTTGTTTAGAATAGCAACAAAACCCAGCAGATGGGATACCCAGCGCTGGGTGACACAGGCATCAGGTCTGGGTCATCAGTCTGTTTTTACTTGCATCCTTTTCTCCCAGCTGTGCTTCCTTCCCAAGATTAGGCATCAGAGTAAATTTCAGCAGACAGTGTGTGTCACCTGTTAATCATCAGCTCCTGTTCCTTACCTATCTACTTCTGTTAATAAAATCCATACCACTACAGAGCCTTACTTTCCCCTTTGGAAAAATCTTCCTTATATCAGTCTGCCTGGGTATATTGTACTCATTATGGATGGGTAGCCTTGTTTCCTTCCTTCCAGTCTCAGCCATTCTCCCTGCTCTTGAAATGCTGGGTTACATCAGGTTCATCTGGTCAAGGAACTATTTAATATCCTTCTGTGTATTTTTTTCTTACCTCTATTGTAAAATAGGTGTGTTTATTGAAATTACCCTTGTCACACTTACTGTGTGTATCAGTAACAGAAATCTAAATATTGGAAGGATTCGATATACAAACAACAGCTCGTAATCATGAAGGAGAATGTCATACCCTTAGTAAATCAACTTCCTGCTTATTATTCTCAGAATTATACAATTTTGTTTGATGGTGGTTCTCCCTTGACAATTTTACCAAGTGAATTTTTGCAACCAGAGCTTTTCTGTTTTGGCCCTCAAAAAAACAGATTAATGTTTCATTGAGTCAAAAAAAAGCATATCTTTATTCCATTGCAGGAATACACAATAGATGTTTTCTTCCGTCAGAGATGGAAGGATGAGAGATTAAAGTTTAAGGGCCCAATGAACATTCTTCGATTGAACAACTTAATGGCCAGCAAAATCTGGACCCCAGATACATTTTTTCACAATGGGAAGAAGTCAGTGGCTCATAACATGACAATGCCAAACAAGCTTCTACGAATCCAAGATGATGGGACTCTCTTGTACACTATGAGGTAAGTCTTTTCGTCTGTTCTCTACTCAAGCTATTTCTCGAGGTGATTTTTCCAGAAAACAATTAAATAGGGTTCCAAGAGGACTATCCTTTGTTTCATTTCTGTCCTAGCAGAAAGCAAGCTAGGAACAAGTACATTTTGTTTCCAGTTCTGTTGCAAGTCTGTTGGGTAATTATGAACTAGATCAGTTTTCCTACATGTTCCTCAGTTTTCATACTTATGTATTAAAAGATACTGACCACCTGCATAAAGTGCTTGGAGACCTTCAGATGGGAATCACCATGTAAGAATTGTTAAGAATACTCAAAGTTTACCAACTCCATTAAAATAGTGTATGATTAAAATAGTCTATGATTTTTGCCTGTTACTGCACACATTGTACCAACCATGTGAGCCCTTAAGTAAATTTATTATTAAGATCAGTGGCAATAAAAAAATAAAGAGGAAGAAGAAAGGGTTAATAAGGCTTCAAATTCTTTCCCACAGGAACTACAGGGAAAATATGGCTTACTCTGTAATAACTGTTTCTTTATATCTAATTACAATATTTTACTTAAAATTTTAATTTTTGCATCCTATGCATGATCAGCAGCTAAGATGAACATTTAGCTGGTAAAATATATTAAATTTGCTTAGAAAATAATTTATGAAAAATTATAAATATCATATATGCATAGGCATAAGCAGCATTTTTGTAAGACTGATGTCTTCTTTGATTACTCTTTTTACAATAATGTAACTTATATGAGTCTTTTGGAATTTTTTTATCCAAATTTCCAGAAACCCTTGACTTAGTTTCTTTCTTTTTCTTTGAGAATATTTAATAAATTGAATTTGTTGTGAATGTAGACTTACCTAAGTCAGATATAAAATGTGAGTTCTAAAGCAAACATATATTGTGCAATTTTTTCCATGCAGCCATACCAGCATACCTTAAGCCTGATACACCCTTATAGTATTGAGTGTTGATGGGTAGACTACTAATGATGTTGAATGATGTGGTTCTTGGAGAGGTTCAGAAAAGTTTGTGGGAAACAAATTGAGATCCCCATTTATTGTATTCTTGCTTGGGCCCAAATCAATATTTGAACTTGAAATTCTCTCCCTCCAGAAGGTATTATAATCATATGCGATACATAATAAATTCTGTTTGAAACCATTATGAAGAATTTTTTTAAAAAACATAAGATGAGTCATGCCAGCTAGAATTAACTAAGCATTTTCATGACTTGTAAGTATCTTGCTTCTGAGGGTGTGAGATTAATGTGTAATTTTCATTGTCTAGATTTTAAACAGCCATTTTTTTTGTCTGTGTCTATTTAAAATGATAGTGTGATTTATATCAGAGGCTTATGCAGTTCTTTCCTTTGCCTTCAGCTGTTTGCTGACTCTTTTCTCTCTCTGCTCTTTGACTTCAGAAAAACTTTCCTGGGGACTGGGGCAATAGAAATATGGCATGTTTTTGGGTGGAAGGATGGGACTAAATAGCGGGGAATACACTGACTGTGAACCACTGGGGGTATAGGAGGATGTAGCTGATGTTTGAGGCTGGATGAAGAAGAATAAAGACATCCACAAAAAAATCTCTACCCACAGGAGACTTACAGGATAGGAAGGAGAAACAGAACACTTTTTTTTTTTCTTCTTAATTAAAAATAAGGAGAAAGAAAAGTCTGACAAAAACTTTCTTCAAAGTCTTTTAAATTATTTTTTTGTATTAATCCTCATATTTGATACTGGGTTATTGCTGGGATTTTTTCACAAAATGAGCAAAAGTGAATGCATTGTTAACATACTGTCATGCTTATACATAAATAAAAATAATAATCATAAGTAACATGGAGAATGAGTAGCAGCAATCTCTTGAAAGAACACAAATGGTTTTTCTTCTGCATCTTCCATTCAAACTCTACAAAAAAATAAATTCAGAAAACTATGGAGCACAGTCCTTTTGCAAATTAACTGTATTTTATGTGCTTTTGTAATGAGCCTTTGAGAGCCACATAATCACACATGTACCTCAGAATATTATGAGAAGAAAATGACTATTCTTAACAACCTGCAGTTACATAATTTATATTTTCATTTAAATGGCCTTTCCTCATAGTTTTGAGGTCAGTTCTTTCAGATTTTTGATGTAATAAGTCAATGTCTTCCAAAGCAACACATAAAAGGGAAGAAGCAAGAGCTGATTTAAGTTTTAATTAGTTTAATATAACATTTCAGTTTCATCTCCTAAATCAGCATGAACTCTGTTCATTTCTGTGGAATAGATTTTCTTGTCCTGCTAACTGACTTAAATGCATAGCGGTCTTTTGCCTTTTAGGCTTACAGTCCAAGCTGAATGTCCAATGCACTTGGAGGACTTCCCTATGGATGCTCATTCATGCCCACTGAAATTTGGCAGCTGTAAGTATAAAATGAGAAGCGTAGCCTTTGATTAGTGAATATCTAACATTGCTCAGCATCACTCTGATTCAATAAGTTGTTACATGAGAGGTTGCAAACACAAGATGGTACTTTTTAAAAAATTTGTAACCTGATACGTTGAAATCTCTTTTCTCTATTCAATGTTCTTCTAATGCATTTTAAAGCTTTCTTGACTCCAGTTAACAATAAACACTATGCACCTAATTCAGCACTGCACTGATTTACTTTTATTCCAGCATGCAACCCGTACCGATGAATGCAGACCTGGGTGCACATAGCCTGTGTAATCTTAATGAAGAGCATATTAAAGACTTCAAAGAATGTTTGGTTTTATTTATTGAAACATTAATTTTCTCTTTATTGTTAATGGTATTTCTTTTACATCCCTAGTCAATGAAGGCAACAACAAATGGCTTCTTGTGATAAAAAATTTCCCTCAGCACATCTGCATGTTATAGACAGGTGGACTTTGATCTCACTAGTATTAGTTTAATAGCAGCATAACTTCATTTACCTATACTACAGTGTCTATTCTTTTTTTGTGAATTAGGATCACATTATATAAATTTCCTGGATTTTGTACACTAAAAGGTTTTCTTTTTTTCTTTGGCTGCAACCTACGTGATATAGGTGACATGCTGCCACTATGGACATCATTAACCAGATGAACATTGTCAGAGCACTGTGCACTCTTTCTATAACTCTCACTTATCCCTTTTCCTTGGAGTTTGGAGCAAACTAAACCATGCTTGTCTTTCTGATGATGTTTCCACAATGGAGGGAAATCTTAGCTATGGAGATAAAAGATCATTAGAATTAATCATATTTGTATCATGGAGCCTTTTTTGCCCCTAGATATTATATTTATAACAGATAATACCGCTTAATTAACTAACAGCAGAGATGTTAGCCAAAATTGGCTACTGATTAATAATATTTACTATATGTGTGCAGCAAGGTATGTTTGATTTATAAGGTGCAGGAGGAAAAAAGGCTCCTATGTAGCCTCAAAACAACTTAAAAAACCCCGCAAGAATGAAACTGATGCTGAGGCCAAGAGGCTACTTTATAGTATGTCTTCATTTGCATTCCTAAGTTGGAAACCCTTCTGACTTTGTGTGAACAGTGGTTTTTTTCTCTAGTTTGTTTGGGTATTTTTGCTTACTAATTTTTCCTTTGTTCTCTGCCCATGGTTTCCGGTTTTCTAGTAAACAGGAGAATTCAAACTGTGAACAGTGTGATTTTAGAAAAGCTATCTTTTATTTCCCCTGTAGTCAACTGTGCTCCAGACTGTTGCCCATCCAAGGGACTCTTATTTCTGTTCATTTTGAACGGCTTCACACTCATTTTATTACCTTTCCTAGAACTCATTTCTAGACTACTGTGCATTTTTCAGCTTTTATTGTGGGATAGAATTTGATTGATGAATAGTGGTGAAAATAAGCAGGAATCCTGAGGATTTTGGTTTAGCTGAGGCAAGTCTGCCAGTGGTACGTATTTGTCATAGCTCTTCATATGCTCCTAATGTTACATTGCAAGGAGGATCATTGTACAAATGTCTCAGGAGTTTTTTTATACATAAGAGAAAAGCCAAACTGAATGTACTGGAGAAGCTGTAGCTTAATAGATTGCCTTTCTTTATCCTAATCAAAAAGTCTAGCCAACAGTGGGGAGGATGGGGACAAATCAGCAACTGGCAATACTGTTGGTTTGCATTAAAGCAGAGGTCTTCTTGTGTGAAGCTAGAAAGATAGAAGGGAAGTGTTAAAAATTTCTACATGCTACCCACCCGCTAGATTTTGTTAGTCATGCAATTTATGGCTAGTTGCATGAAGAAGCTTCTTTCTGGGCCACCAGAGATTTCCGAAGTGAAAATGTTTGCAGCCCAACAGAAATGTTACTTTTCTTTTTCACTTCACTACAATTATGATATGAGACTTAAAATGCACTTGCCTCAGTCAATGTAAATGAACATACAATTTCTTCCATCAGTGGTTTACCCTTTTCTTTTCATACTCCATTTGTTAGTAGGGTATTAGACCGGAAAAACTTGCAGGACATACTTTTTTTTTTTTTTCCCCCTTTCTTACTGGAGAGGCATTAATGCTATTTAAAATACAGTCTTGATTTGCTTTCATTCTAGCTTATTTTGACAGACCCTAGGTTAAATGTATGTTTGATCATGAATGCACTGAGAGAACAGCCTTCTTAATATCAGCATCTCCCACAAAAAGATGCCAAGGAGTGAAATTTAAGAGGGTATGCAGGGCAAGGCACAGAGCCACTACAAGTTTAAGGGCATTGTCACTGAACCTGGCTTCCCATATTTAGGTATGAAGTTCAGCTAATAAAATGCTTGTGATACAGTCCCAAAGTGGAAAGTGGGGAAAATGGAAAGTTAGAACAATGTAGGAATGAATTTTCAAAAATGTTGTGTCCTAAATCTTGCGAATTGTTCTTTTCATCCCACTTACCATGAGTTTTAGGATACATATAATATCTAATCTCTTAGAAATTTCTTAACAGGATAGAAGAGATGTGGTTTGTAATTTAATAGCAATAAATTGTGGTTAAGAAGATCACAAATGAGTGCCTTGTTCCCATGCTGCAATAGGCATTTACCCTACAGTAAAGCTATTTTTAAATGGCCAAACATATTTTTTACCATATAATTTTCAGGTTTTGGGGTAGGTTGTTTTTTGTTTTGTTTTTGTTTTTGTTTTTTAAAAATAAGTAGCTCTTCTAATACTATGAGTTTTGATGGAAAGTGTTTATTTAAATTACTGACAAAACACTTTATCTTATTTTCCACAGATGCATACACAACTTCAGAAGTGACATACATTTGGACTTATAATGCTTCAGATTCAGTGCAGGTGGCACCAGATGGCTCAAGATTGAATCAGTATGATCTTTTAGGCCAAACAATTGGAAAAGAGACAGTTAAATCAAGTACAGGTTAGTAAAAGATATTTTGAAGAAAAAGGCAGTCACTTGGCTATGAAAAACATAGGCATTGCTGGTGGTGTTAGAAGGCTACTGAAAAACCTGTTGCAAAATGTGAGATATTAGGCAGAGTCTATTAATGTATGGTCCAAATAACACACAGGAGCTCTTTAGTCATTCTTTCAAGTTAATAAGTAACTGATGATAGCAGGGGTGCACTTGTCCCCAGTGACTGTTTTTTAGTGATGTCTGGAGCTGAGTCTTGAATCCTAATGTCTGTAACCCAAGAGGGATAATTGTTTAAATTTTTTTTTTTTTTTGTCTACTAAATGATGAAGTATGCAGATTTCAACCATTTTTTTCCTTCCATCGTGTTTTTGGCATTAAAGACCAGATTATTCTACCAGTCTCTAGACTGTGTTCCTACACGTGCCAGGCTGTGATGGACCTCCATGATTGCCTTCTGACTGTAGATTAAGTTCTCAGGGTGCCTTTGCGTGAACGCAGAGAGTTGCTTATGTGCAGAAACCCACAGGACTGAAGTTCTTGTCAGGGCATACAAGAGATAGCGTAAGTTCCTGAACACTGATCTTTCCTGGAGCTCAGTGGGAATAAGATGTAGTTGTACTCAAAAACTTTCTTATGTTCTGTCGGATGCTTCCTACTACAAAATGCATTCTGTGCAATTTAACCCTAGCACATTTGGTTTACATAAATGTACTAAACTTTCTTTTGCCAAAGAAATGGATTTTCTTAAGATTATAACCTTTTGTTTCATTGTATTTTGTTTGTTTGTGGCACCTAGGTGAATATACCGTAATGACGGCTCATTTTCACTTGAAGAGAAAAATTGGTTATTTTGTCATTCAGACTTATCTCCCCTGTATCATGACTGTCATTCTCTCTCAAGTGTCATTCTGGTTGAACAGAGAATCTGTACCTGCCAGGACAGTCTTTGGTGAGTATACTGAGTAGCATTAGCTTTGTTTGCAACAGCTGAAGCTGTTAGGAAGCATTTCAGAAGTCTGCTTGGTAAAGCCCTTTTTCATTCAAGTTAGTGTGTTTGTAGAATGTAATGCTATTTCTAGCCCAAACAGCTTTCAACTGCAGCTTACAGATCTCCTAAGAATCCCAAAGTTTTTAGAAATTAGAGAGAACTGTCCATATATCCTTGACTCTTTTAAGAGGAAAAAGTTTTCACAGAAGGGAAAAAGATGATGATTTTTCTATTCAAAAAGTAAATTTAGATTATTTTCTGAAATGTCTTACCTGCCTTGATGTTATCCAAACATTGTGGTACTTGGTAGGTAAGCACATTTCTAAATATATTTGTAAATTAAACAAATTAAATTTGAATTTGTTTAAGTATTTGAAAGTCTTTGCAAGCTGCAGTTCTTTAAAAGAAACCCTATCCTGGGGGGTCTGGGCCAAACTTTCTCACTAATTCAAATTGGAGAGTACTGTAGGGCAGCAAACAGCTTCAGCAGTGCAAAATAATTATATTTCTATTACAATAAGGTTTTGCTCTCTTCTTTATTAAAGCAAAGTAAAAAATGTCTTTCTTATTTGCATAACTTAAAGTTCTTATAATTTGTTTGCTTTTAAAGAAAAAGAGACTAGCACAACAAAATGAAAGTAATGTCTGTGTTGAATCAGCCAGCAGAAATGCTGCATACAATCATACGATTAGTCATCAGTAGACACCATGCACTCTTCAAAAAATAGGCCAAACTCAAATGCATATTAAGTATGATGCACAACAAAGCACTTACTGTCTCTCCTGGTAGAGAAAATGCCACACAAAGTGTCACGAAAATTGCAGGTTTGAATATGAGCCTTATTGAAGTCAGATGAAATGGGTCAGTGGTTTTACTGGGACCAGAATACTGCCATGCTTTCCCAGGAGTTATCAGGCAGATTTCTTTTTTCTTTCTTCAAAATCTTCTGTGAATTTGTCCATTTCTGCTTATCAAAATGCACATTCCTGTCTTCCAGCCTTGCAAGTACACTGTTAAATCCTTCTACATCTTTGTCTTTGCCCTTTCCTGTACCCCCTCCTATACATTTAGTACAGCGTAACTGGTTTGTCCAAAAAAGTCTCACATCTTCTTTTCCTGAAATGCACTTTCTGTTGCTGTGTCATCGGTAACAAGGCACTAACTACATCAGTAACAAGGTATTAGGATAATTTTCCTGGAATGTTGTGTTCCTTCCTGCATACCTCTTTCTTGTTCTTGATTTATTTTTTGATTTTGGTTTTTGGGTGTTTTTTTTCTGAAATAAGTAATATCTGCATGGCAGCCTGATGCTTTACTGTCCCAGGGGTTTAGCATAATATGAATAATGAACAATGATGTCCTGTTTCAGGATATCTTGAGGGAACTGGGTACGATGGCCACAGGAACAGAACTGCACCACCCCATGACATAAAATCTAAAATTGTTTTACTAAGCACAATGAGTATATCGAGGAGACAGCAATTTCTGTGCCAGTATTTCATTTCTGCCACAGAGACGCGCACCTCACGCACCAGTCAGGGCTCCGTCCCCTCCAGGCCGGTTTAGGCTGTCACCCTGAACACGCGTTCAGGCCTAGCCCCTGCATGCAGCATTGCACCTCAGGCTTAGCCTTCTGAATTGGGTTGGATGTCCCCCGAGGAGCTATTTTTTAACATCCTTTTACGCTCTGGATGAGATTGTCGGCATAAGCTGCCAATGGCGTCTGTAATCATGGAGCCCCAGGCGAATCTCCCGGTGTTTCTCCATACCTACTGGCAGGAGTTGTCACTGGGATTTCTGATACCCTCTGGTCTCCTGCCTAAATGTGTTACAAAAATGTGAAGTTAGCCACAGTTTCACAACAAAGTTCATCTGTTGCTTCTGACTGTTTTCTGGCTCATACTGAATTGATCTTGACAGTTGGAGCTAGGCAGGTACACTCAAGGTCTCATTTGGGTGGTACTCATTCAGGTAGACTCCAGCCAGTAACACATGAAGCCCATACTACAGCTAAGGTAACAAAACAAGCTACTTCCAGGAGGGAATATAAAAATTGCAGGAGATTTTGCTTTGTATTTTTATTGATCATACTTAATTTTTAGTTTTTATAAGGAGTAGTCACTTGCTAGATACCCATCTTTGCATTGTATAATAGATATATCAATATTAAAATGTGATTAAGTAGAAAATATTAATTTTGATAAAGTGTTTTTCAGAATCAATGAGAAATTTATTTTAAGTATCTTCTTGAGAGCTTGAGTCCTGGAAAGGACTAACTACTAGAGTACTGTTCCTTTCAAAGAAACGTAACTCCCAGTTATTCTAAGCGCCACTTAGCATTCATTATTTCATGTCTGAAAGAAATTACTTTTCTTTCCCCTTTCTATTCTCTTGCAATGTAGTTTCAAGTTCTAGGTTAACATTAAGGGCTTGCTATAATGAGGCTTCTTTTATAGTTGAGCTCTTTAATCCCTTTTCTTTATGGCATCTATTTAATATTGTTGACCTAAGCTATCCCAAATGAATTATGGCCTAATGTTATATTGTTTCAACTTTGCTTTAAAATATTGGAAGAAGAAAGTTTTATCATCGTTAATTAAATAAGTCTTGAATGTGTTTTCTCTAGCAGATAAATTTGAAAAGCATTTGATTGCATTTTTAACGAAAGGGAATAAGCCTGGTTCATAATGCCTTCATTTAGTGCAAGATTACAATCTGTTTCATTTAGTAATGTGTTTATTGTTACGCATTTAGTGTCAACAATATTAGCAAAACTAATCTTGTGCAGCTTATTGAATTCTCGCTTCGTTTTTAATGGGTCATAACATTTAGAAGCATCACATATATTTGAATAGCAGCATTAAATGCAGGTGACAGAAAAATCAGAAATTAGGTTTCTTTGTGCTACAGTTATCTATGTGTTTCAACTCACATGGAGTAGGAATGAGAATGTTAAAATGAATCTAGTTAGATATATATTCTTTGCTACCTGAAGAAGGCAAGAACAAAAATTAACAGTCCTATTATTTTTTAGTATGTTGTCCAAGATGCAGAATTTTAAATTCACATAGCTATGTTCTTTTGTCAGGACTCTGTTCTCTGTGATGATTTTACTCTTATGCTGCATTCCTATCCCTGTGTTTTGCTTGTTCTTGATTTATCTTTCCTGAACCTGTATTAATTAATGTACATTTTGAAGCACAAAGCCATTTAGACCTGAAACAGACAGACTTTTTAATTATGCAACTGCAGAAAGGGAAACCTAAGAGTTCAGATTTGTTGTCTGGTTATTTTTACATGGGAATTGAATAACATAGACTCTTCCTTTTAAACAATTCAGTATATATAAAGTACCTTTTCCCATTTTGTTGAAAAAAATCTCAACTGGCTTTACTTCTCCTTTCACATGCTGCAGATTATCTTTTGTGCCTTGCGAGATATCCCACCACTCAGAACTTTCAGTCTATAACTTCTTATTTGGAAATTTCTGTTAACCGTAGACATAACACTCTAGTGGTAGGCAGTGGGCAAGCATACCTGGAAAACTGTAGCCCTTAGTTCGAGACTGAGCTGGCTGCAAACGAACTACTATGTTTTCTCAGCTCAGTGGTGTGCCAAGACACTACCTCATGTTCCAGTAGTGACATAATGACATGTGACTTTTACTGGAGCTGGGGTAAATGGGACTTGCTGTTCAGCTTTGGGAATAAGTTTGGCTGTTGATCAATGGGGAACTCTGTTCCATTGCTCGTCATTGGTACAGTGAAGCAACGTGAGCACCGACTTCACGATATGTGTATGTGGTTTAACTGACTGACTGAATGCAACGTTTCTGGAAATAGATCATGTGATGGTCCTTGGCCTCCCATGCTATTTAAAAAAGGCTTCTGGCCTTTTGTGTTGTTCTTTCAGTAAAAAAGGGTAGACAAAGCACTTGAGCTGTTTTATACAATCTTTCCCTCAATGGTTGGTCAGGCTTCTCTCCTGATGTCTAAGGAGAATCAATGTACACTCCTTTTGTATTGTATTCTCAAGTAACACATATACATTGTTAAGTAAAAAAGAAACAGTATGGTGTGTAGCCAAATATTATCATATAATACTTTAAAATTTTACTATCTCCATAATTTTTAAGCTTTTGTTCAGAAGTCCAACCGTTTATTCTTGGAGTGATAAAATGAAGTAGTAATCTGTATCTCTGTAAAAGGGACAACAGTCTTTTCTTTCCACTATGTTATTTGTATTTATAAATCTATTCAGATTTTGGACCAGGTTGAGTGATCTAATTACCTTACAACATTTGCAATTACTGTTAAGAAAAAAGAAAGAGTGAAATAATAGAGCAATGGAATTATCTTTCTAATGAAAACAAAAAAAAAGTAATTTATCAGTCCTTTTGTGATATGTTCTTCAACCATTGTGTGTATCTTTGCAAAGTGCTGTGATGAAAAGATAAAATTGTGGGAGGAGTAGCATGATATTATGAGAAATGGAACACATTTTGTACAAATTATTTGCAAAGCTGAAGTGCCTCTTGTGTTACAGAAATGTCTTTTGGTAACTCATTATTTAGGCCTTTTACTTTCATTTTCAAAGGAGATGCCCATATTCTAACATGAGAAGACTAGGACATGATTTAGTTGAGTAAAATCTGTTCAAATTAGAAAAATCAGTTGATACACAAGAGGTGAAATAAGGGTCCAAAGGAACTTGTCCCTGTCAAGGAGTAGCCTGATTTTGCACTCAATTGTGGGCATAAACTAGTCATCATGGCAGATTTTAACTTCAATATTTATGTGCTAGCTCCTCCAATTTCCAGAGTAAGTTTTTAGTTAGGCATTTCTAGTTTTTCAGTTTACCCCTTCCACTGCTGAGTGGCAGCGCCCTATACCACTGAGTGACAGAAATTGTTTGCCCAAAGGTGGCTGTCTAACTTTAAACACATCTTGAATAGTATCCATCTGTCCCGAAATCCAAAATATGACAGAGCTGGTATTTTCCACATATATAAGTTTAGTGCCAGTGAAAAGTGTTGAATTTACAGCCCTGGAGATGGATATCCTCTCTCCAGTGAGAAGATGCCATTTCAAAAGCGGCACCATAAAAAAAAATCCTAGGCAAAGCCCCAGTCTTGTCCTGAACAGGTAAACCTGTAGTGACAGAAGTTATTTAGCTTTTATAGGCATGCACCACTGAGAACAAAAGTTGTAATGATGTTGGGGTATATTTACTGTCAAGTGTAAAATGTTTGGTCCTCTTCGGAGAAGGGAAATGGCAACGGTTTATTTTTTGGATCCTTTTTAAAGACAAACCGATGACTGCTCGTGGTCTCTTACAAGATGATACCTGTCCATGTCCTTCTGTCACGTCTGCTGGGTTCTGTGCTATAGAAGATAGTTCTTGACCTGTATATAAATTGTGGTCTTTTTACATCATAGTGAGATATCATGCAGTCTTACATAGCCTGTTAAATTATTTAGGCTGTTCAGAGTAGTATATGGGTTAGGGAGGAAGGCTGTTTTCCTCTAATATTTTCACTTCCTCATTGCAAGAGGACAATCTACTCACTGTGTTTTATACCAATTTTAGTTCACTAGTGTTATGAATTAGATAATACAACGTGGAATGTTTTTGATCTGGTTAGTGTATGTTTTTTGTAGGGGTTTAAGTTAAATGTTTGTGAAATAAATGTGTTTTGTTTTACAAGTTGACCATATTCCTCCATATTAATAATTTTTCAGTCCTCTCAAGTTTAGCAGTGATAAAGAGGCAGGTCATTTCCATTCAATCCTTTTTCATAAAGAGTTGATAATACCGATTTTTCAAATTAGCTATAATGTGCAAAATCATGTCTTTTGACTGAAGAAAAATAGCAAGTATAAAAATACTTGAGATTGCTAAACTGACAGGTATCACAGCTTAAATTTTCTGTTCAATTTTGTCCCACTCAATTCAGGTTAAATGGCTGTGGTAGCTTGAACATCACTGAATTTATAGAGCGAAGGAATAAGTGAAAGTGTGTTGGCAATTATCCGACAATGTGCTGTTTGATTAGCATTTAGGTCACAAGTGGTGTGGCTTGCTGAACTTTTTAAAGAAATTGTCAACTGGTAGCAAGATACAGGATGTAAATTCATGATGTTTTAATTGAGACTAGAAAAGGTCAGCAGTTAATCTTAAATTAGATTTCTGAAGAAGCCGATGGGGCTTCCAGAAGATTAGTTTATTCTAAAAGGTGGGATTTAAACAGAACAATACCTTAGCAACTGTATATATTTACATGTGGATAAGGACACCTTATCTCTGAGAAACAATCACTTTACTGATACTTCTGTATAATTAAAATGATTTATCTGCAGCTCAGGACCCATGTTAAAATTTGCATGTGATAATTTTAAATGTAAGATAGACTGCCTTTTCCCTGAGGTGCTGAAAATAATTAAGCCATATGTTGTGTAAGTGTTAGGTGAGAATAAGTTCTTTACAAAATGTATTGCCCGCACATTTTCCTACCTTATAGTATGAGAGCTGCTTCCTTTTCATTGTATAGGCTAGTAGATCTCAACAGTGTCACGGCTGATTCCAGACCAAATCCTCTTCTTTAATTAATGGAGGCTGAAAAATAGCAATTTGAGATTTATGTTTGCTGAAGTGCCTGGATACTGTGTGACTCAGCAGGATGTTTCTGTGCCTTGATTTCCCTGCTGCACAGACCCTTGGAAGTGCATCAAGGGAGAGTAACACTGAGGCTGAGTCCAGTTAGCTTTGCTCTGTCATCCTCTGTAGCACCCTCAGAGATGGAGATTCTTTACAGGCGGGATGGAAATTGCACAGCCTGAAGAGGTCTGAGTAGGTGTAATTGCTGTCTCTTCCCTCTCACACAGTGAGAAAATGCTTCTCTTGTAGAAGGAAAATTTGAGCTAGGTTGATCCTGCAGAACCCATGTGACAGATTGCTGACAGTGGAGGATCTGGCTTAGGGAGAGTGACTTTACTTTCTGTTGGGAATCCTCTTACAACGATTTTATGAGTGAGTAGTTGTTGGAGCTATGATGTGCTGTTACCAATATTTCTACCGTGGCATCTCCTTTGCCTGTCATAATGGAGTGTAGGCTTGCTGATCTGTGCTAAGTATATAATTTTGCATTGTTTTTCATTCTGGAGACGTATTTAATGGCATACCACAAAGGGAATAGTTTAGTTTGTCTAGGTGTGATTCAGCCTGAGGTGGGAGAACTGATTTACTTAAGGAATGGAGACTGCATTTGTGGCTGTGGGTTTCTGCTTGCTAAAACTGATTCAGAAAAATGTTCTTCTCTTCCTTTCCTCCCATGTATCTTTTTTCTTATTTTTTGGAGTATAATTCCTGGCTTCCTACTGCGTCTTCGTTATGTACAAAGTAGTGTAAAGTGCTTTTAATAACTGCCACAGGGAAAGAACAATCTTCCTGGAACATCAAGTCTTGTTTTCTGACACATAATACACAGTTATAAAAATCTGGCATTTCAAATCAATATGTTGTTCGAGAAAAAAATCCCTGTTACCTGAATGAAAACTTAACCTGTTTATGTGTTCAACTATGTCACTGGATGGTTAGTGAGACATCTACTGGGAAAAAAAAAATTAAAAAATCATTATTTCTAGTAACAAAGGTCAATTTGTGTGGTAGTCAGTAAAGATGGGTGCCAGACCTGCAGCCACTGCAGAGAAGCCAGCCACCAAACATTAACGTTATTACTGTAATGCTGCAAAATGTTGTGATTCCATTAAGGAATTGTTAATTTTGTCCCTTACCTGTCCTGATAGCTAAAAAAAAAAAAAAACCCAACCAAAAAAACTATGTTCTGTAAGTAAAATCTTCAGCTGATTAAAAAAGGGGAAATATAGACAACAAAATTGAACTAAAATAATTCAAAGGAAACTCGAGATGCAGCCTTTAATATGGTTCTGACAGTTTGTCACCAACTTAGATAAGCAAGTTTTCCATTGTGTTTCACATATATACCATAATAATAGTATATTAATACCATAATTTTGGTTTGTATTTTTTTAACAATCAAAATCCAAGTAAAATTGTTGATGTTATGTTTTTTGTCCCCTTGCAGGAGTAACAACTGTGTTGACAATGACAACACTGAGCATCAGTGCTCGAAATTCACTCCCCAAAGTAGCATATGCAACAGCTATGGATTGGTTTATTGCTGTTTGTTATGCGTTTGTATTCTCTGCATTAATTGAATTTGCAACTGTAAATTATTTCACAAAACGAGGATGGGCCTGGGATGGAAAAAGTGTAGTAAATGATAAGGTAAGTCCTAAGGAAATAGCCCTGTTTCCAGTGAATTGCAGTAAACCAACTGTAATATACTGTTTTGATAAAATTTGCTATATAAAAAAAATATGTGATGCTTTAAATCAAGAGAATGTAGATGTATTTTGTGTCCTGAACAAAAATATGTCTGTCCTGATGTACGTAATCTCACCTGGTCTCTGTCGTGGTTTAACCCCAGCCGGTAACTAAGCACCACGCAGCCGCTCGCTCATTCCTCCCTCCTGCAAGAGGACGGGGAAGAGAATGGGAAAAAAACTTGTGGGTTGAGATAAAGACAGTTTAATAGGATAACAAAGGAAAAAGATGATGATGATAAATAATAATAGGTAATAATAACAACAACAACAACAGGTGGTGCACAAATGCAATTGCTCACCACATGCAGGAAAAAACCCCAAACAAATAATGCCCAGTCTGTTTCTGAGCAGCAATCCTGCCTTCCAGCTAGCTTTCCCAGTTATATACGGAGCATGACATTCTATGGTATGGAATATCCCTTTGGCCAGTCTGGGCCAGCTGTCCTGGCTCTGCTCTCCCAGCTCCTTGCGTACCTGGCAGGGTGTGAGAAGCTGAAATGTCCTTGACTTAGTGTAGACACTACAACTACCCAGCAACAACTAAAAACATCAGTGTGTTATCAATGGTATTCTCATACTAAATCCAAACCACAGCACTATACCAGCTACTAGAAAGAAAATTAACTCTGTATCATCTCAGCTGAAACCAGGACAGTCTCAATAATCCAGATTTAGTTATCAACTATATTGTGTTTTTATGTTGGGAAGTGTCTGACTTGTTTCTTGACTCCTCAGACACAACTGTTTATCTGGTTATTCAGAAAATTTAACCCAGATTATAATGGTTGATAATTTTTTTCATTATTTAATCCAATTGAGCTGGAAATAAGGAAAAGATTACAGAAAGATATAATGTATATTAATTTTCTGGTAGGTAAGAATCAGAAAACTGAATGCCCATATATGTAAAAACTATTAATAACAAAATCTAGAGTTTTCAGTATTCTGAAATTTATCCCTAATGATATGTAGACATTAATTTTTAAACTAATTTAAATAGCAGTTGTACAAAATTCTGAATACTTCACCTACTATATATTGATGCTCTGAGTGTGCAGAAGCACAGTCATGCCTTAGTTTGCTGGTATTGATAGTAGTGTAGTTGTGATAGCATGAAGAAATTTTAACCTGATAGAATTTCTTATTTTGTGAACAAAATGAACTGTTGATATGCCTGAACTTGTGTCACACTTCATAGTTTATCATTTTAATAACACAGAACGAATGCTAAAGCTGACTTGTTTTGACTTACTATATTATATAATTTTGTCCTATCCCAGTCCTTGATTCTACCAATAGAAAAGGATTTCTTCTGACAAAGAATACTCTGATTTCGCTGGTTCTCCTTAAAATAGGATAGAATATTATTTGCTTCCTAGATGATAATAGTAGATGTGAAGAAAAGTTTAATTAACTGATGGTTTCTCAGCACTTTGAATGCATAAAGAAGCAAAATGTTCAGTTAATGGTAAAGGAGAATTAGAGGAATTGAGTACGTTGTTTATAATTCCCTGTGGCTTCTGGAAGGGCATGAACTATCCATACCTTCAGGATCTGTTCCCTCATCCTAGAAGTAGATACCAAATCACTACAAGTTTTTCAGCACGTCACGAGTGAAGCTTTTCAGACTGGCACATCATTGCCTTGGCATTGTAATAACGTAGGGAGCCCTTATAAACTCTCCCATCATCCTTTGGCTGTTGCTTTAAATTAACAAAGTTGTCTCATGATCTTAGGAGTGGGACCTGTTTAACAGCTAGGTACTATTCCTTCCCTAGGAATGACAAAATTAGTCATTCCATTTTAAGATTTATATACTATTCATATACCCAGTTCTCTATTTTCTTCAAACTGACTTAACAAAAAGCTAAACTTTTAACATATTCATAGTTTCTCATGCAAAAATATGGTTCATCTTTATTGTGCAGATCTCATTAATGGTATTGCAGATACATTTTAAAAACATACTAAGTGTGTCTGAAAGGAAGGAACTATAGATCAATTAGAGTGTTCCTATAGTAATTTCATTTGATAATTTACTCTTATTTTTGCTGAGTGCATCTGTGCACCTAAAGCCAAGCTTACTCTTCACCAAATAAATGAAATATGTTTCCTCAGTGATAGTCATCTGTGTCCACATTATATGGAAATTCCCATCTGAGTGCTGTCAACATAGAATTTGTCTCACAGGAAAGCAGGTGGAGGGACAAGCTATGTATTTGATCAGCCCCTTTTCACACTCCAGTCAATAAGGAACAATGCTGAATTCCCACCCCATCCCAGATTCTCTTTTTATGTGACACCATCTCCTGAGACAAGGTATTTGGGGCACAACATCTAACCATGAAGATCTTATCAAGATTTGTAGGTGGCCCTGATAAATATCAAATTGGAGCTAATTTAAAACCAAAATTGGAAATTGGGTAGATGCCTCCCAGTGGAAGTAAAAAACTGGAATGCACCTGTATGAGAAATGTCACAAGAATTCCCTCACTTGTGCCACTTCCATTAGATTAAAAATTAAACAAAACCAATATAACAGCTGATGATTTCTTGTATGAGCCAGAAGTTAACTATTTCTTCATCTGTTATATTAATATTAATTATTTGTTAACATTTATTTGCCTGCTTCTAGATTATGTATGGAGAGCCTTCCTTCCTAGAAACTGAAATCCTTCCATTCTTTCCTGTAGGTTATTAGAAGTTCCTTAGTTTGGGACTGCTGCAAAACAGTGAATCAGTTTATAGCATTACAGTCTTATTGCAGAGCTAGCTGTGTACCTATATATATATATGTCTAAAAACTCAGGCCTATAGTCATTACCTATACATCCCTGTATGTATCTATACACATAGTGTCTCCATTGGACAGCCATTGGCTGAACTTTAGCTGTTTAAAAGCATACACAATCCTGTAAAAACACAGAATTGCTGACGTTGGAATCTCTCTGGAGACTGTGGAATTTAACTCCCTTACTCAAAGCATGGTCAGCTAGGGATGGTTGCTCAGGGTCATCCCCAGAAAGTTTTTTAATATCTCCAAGAATGGAGACTCTACAACCTCTCAGGGCAACGTGTACCAGTCCTGAGTCACGCTCACAGTAAACCAGGTGTTTTTGTATAAGTGGAATGTTCTGTATTTCAATTTGTACCCGTTGCCTCTTGTCCTTCCACTCGATGCCACTGAGAAGAATCTGGTCTGGTCTTCTTTACTCTCTGCTACCAGATATTTATATACATTGATAAGACTCTCCCCTGAGCCTTCTCTTCTCAAGGCTGAACAGTCCCAGCTCTCAGCCTTTCATATTTCAGATGCTTCAGACCTTAAATCATCTTTGTGGTCCTTTGCTGGACTCGCTCCATTATGTCCATGTCTCTCTTGAACTGGGGAGCCCAGAACTGGATCCAGCACACCAGATGTGTCTCACCAGGATTGAGTTGAGGGAAACAATCATCTCCCTTGGCCTGCTGGCAACGTTCTTTCTAATGCAGCCCAGGAGGCTGCTGGCCCTCGTTGCTGTGAGGGCACATTGCTGGCTTCTGTTCAACTTGGTGTCCACCAGGACCCCCTGGGCTTTTTTCTGCAAAGCTGCTTTCCAGCCCATTAGCCCCAACCTGTACTGGTGCATGGGGTTATTCCTCCCCAGGTGCAGGACTTAAATTTCCCTTTGCTGAACTTCATTAAATCCTTTTAATTCCATCCGACTTTTCTTATCTTCTGTTATTTTTTAAGTTCTAATCCCCATTTTCATAGAATCATAGAATCATAGAATG